AGGAAACCTAAACTAACTTTATTTATACTAGATAGCTCTGTCAGTTCTAAACTGTTCTTCCTAGAGGTCCAGTAAGAATCATCTCTTATTGATCCAGTGTTACTACAGGAGGAAACCTAAACTAACTTTATTTATACTAGATAGCTCTGTCAGTTCTAAACTGTTCTTCCTAGAGGTCCAGTAAGAATCATCTCTTATTGATCCAGTGTTACTACAGGAGGAAACCTAAACTAAACTAACTTTATTTATACTGGATAGCTCTATCAGTTCTAAACTGTTCTTCCTAGAGGTCCAGTAAGGATCATCTCTTATTGATCCAGTGATACTGCTGGAGGAAACCTAAACTAAACTAACTTTATTTATAATGGATAGCTATATCAGTTCTAAACTGTTTACCATTATTTTTATATCCTAGATGTTTCATCGGGGATAACGGAATTCAAGTTCATTGTATGCATAGTCATTATTGCAAACTGTCTGGAGTTGACACTTGATTTAACTGATGAACTGCGGAAAGTGTGTTATGACTCAAGCACAATCCGTGAAAAGGTAGGACTATTAAATGATTACATTGTGAACTAGTCATCACAGCTGGTAGCCTTGAGCCAATTCTCATACTCTAACTTACTATTGATTTTAGGTCTCAGAACTACTGACAAAACTTGACGAGCTCAAGTCCAACGTTGAAAAACACCACTCTGCTTGGTACAAGAAAGCGGTTGAGTTGGCAGCAAAAATCGACGTCAAACCAAGAAAAGAAAAAATCCACTCATTTTCAAATAAAATCAAAATTAACCCGGACGAATCCATATCTGACCACTACCTGAGAGCAATCACTTTGCCCTTTATTGATCACATGAAAGCTCAAATCGATCTCCGATTTTCGAAAGCTTACTTAGATGCGTTAGATGGCTTGGCAATAATGCCTTGTAATGTCTTGGCAAATCCGGAATCATCAAAAGCCGCAGCTTTGAGATTCTTGAAAAGATACAAGGAGGATCAACCTGATTGGCATACCTACTTTGAAGTGGAACTTCGTTTATGGGAGCTCCGTTGGAAGGATGCAGGCATACTGCCAGACACAGCTCTGAAATTGTTGTCAACCCGAAACTTAAAGAATTCAACCCAGCTATTCACTGCATTTAAGATTTATGCCACGCTACCAGTTATCCCAACCGAATCTGAAACACCGAGGGTTATGCCTTTCCTTCATGAAGAGTTATGTGTGTATTCAATGATGGATAATTATCTAAATGCCCAGGCCTTGTTGAGCATTCGAGGGAAAGAATTGGACACTGAAGATGTTATTAAATGTTTTAAGAAAAAGTATACTTTGCCAATGATGGCGGATGCTTGAAAACGTATCTTTAGATGGACAGCAAAAACAGTTGAATATCAACAGATTAAACAGTTTGCCTTTGGTATTAACAGATTAAACAGTTTAATATATTGAATGTAAACAGTTCAGGTATCAACAGATTAAACAGTTTATTGGTCAAAATGAAGAAACGTTTTAAAGATGAGACAGACTAAGCTGAACATCTGAAACATTGTTTACACTAATAGTAAATTTCAGCTTACTGTACTAAACCAAAGAACAAATTAAAAGTAACTTGTGTTTAAAAATAGTCATGTTGAGCATTTGTTGTATTTAAATTAAAGCTTTCAAGAAGTAAATAAAGTATCTGTCACTTCCGATTGATATCATTTATCTGGCTTCCGGTTGGAATTCGGATTCAGGGGGGAGAGAAAATTGTCAACACTAGTAAAAAATTTAATGAAATTGTTCTAAAAAAAACCTACTTTTAATTGTATTTTAGGCCTAGAAGTATTATCTGTAGTATAAATAATAGCTTGAGCTTACTTCTATTAGCTATAAATAAATTACAAAGCAAATAATTTAGCCTAAATCTTTCCTAAAACGCAAAACAATTAAATGGTAAGGTACTTCCCCCCTGGTTTCCTCTGCATGTTATCAACACTGATCTCTATAATAGGTCAATGATTCAATGAATGCGTATTTTGTAGCGAGATTTTGTAGTGGTTCAGTTGAAAGATCTTTAAGTTTTCTATATATTTCTGATCGGATTTTACAGAATCAACAGTGAAAACGAGTGTGGAACATAACGTGTTTGTATTTTGAACGTTTCTGGAGGCAAAACAGAGCGCAAATGTGAGTAGAAATGTAGATTCGGAATGTATGTTAATTTTTGCATCGACGCACGTGGTGGTATCAGCCACAAGCCTAGTCTGTTTTCTTTTCTAAAGATTAAAAATCATTAAACGCATTGCTGATTATTGCAAAATATTTAAAAACATTGCAGATTCTTGCAAAATATAGGAATGTTTTAAGTCCAAATGAATATGTGCAGGCCACAGTGGCTTGCTCAGCAACCCAAAATTTCAAGGCTGCTGATGGGGGAAGGAAAGCAGCTTCTTATAATTATGACATCATAGCCCTGGGAGGTTTTGCCCCACGCCATGCACAACCTCTTGGCAACCTTGAATGTATGTTGTATTTCCACAAAACAAAACAAAACAAGTTTTTCTTATCATAGGACAATGGCCAATTGGGAAAATGTAAACGAAACCACACTAACCGACGCGAAAAGAATCCGAATCATGTTTGATTCAGTGCTTTTCTGTGCGAGACAAGGCATTGTTATGAAAGGACAGATTAAAAAACCTATGTACCAATATAGCGATGATGAATGTGATAACGATGACCAGGTGACGGCATTATCAAGCTTCTTATTGCGGGCTGCAAACAATGATTTCAATCCAACATCTGAATTGAAAAGGCTGTCCAATGCAACTGCCCTGACCAAACAAACGCAAGATCGGATCCTAGAAACTTGTCGAGAAATGCTCACTTCCAAAATAGTCGCAGAAGTAAAAGAAGCGCAGTTCTTTACACTTATTGCTGAGAAGACCTTGAAGGATGATGATGGGGTCCGCATTCCACTGTTTGTCAGATTTGTTGACAAGAACTTAAAAATTCGAGAAGAGCTATTGCAGTACGTCTCTCGTGGTACCCGTGGTCCTGATGAATCTTGGGGAGAAACTATTGGCAAGAATATTGTACGTGTGATTACAGAGTTAGGTTTGAGCATGGAGTTCTGTCGAGGCTTAAACTTTGACAGTGGTGATAATGTACTCAAGGTTTCAGAAGTGGTCAGGAAAATACAGGCTGATTATCCAAAAGCAATATATGTCCATGCAAGATCTGATCTTTTGAATGTCCGTATCGCGTCAACATGTGAGATAATGTTTGTGTTTCACACGCTGTATAAAATAGAATTCACAGCAAAGCTTTTCACAGAAGAGAAAGAAATCAAGGAATTGCTCGAAACTATGATCAAGGAAGTTATGCCAGATTCGGAGCGCTCACGTTTGATTGAGCTGAGCCAAACCAATTGGGGTGAAACAGCACAGAGGTTTGGCAATTTGGTTGAGTTGTTTCCAGCAGTAATTGCAACATATGATGAAGTTTGTGAAGGTTCATGGCGAAAATATATTAGAGATGACGATAAAAGGTTTACAGCTTCTGGTAGGTCTCCAATGTGTATTACTACAGGAGGAAACCTAAACTAACCCCTTTACTCTACTTTATTATAATAGTGCAGCCCTTATTTTATTGACAATTTTATTCATTAAGGGGGAAGTGCTGCCATTCAGTGGGCTATATTTCAAAGCTCTATCCAATTTGAAATATGTTTTATTTTGATACCATCAGGTGTTTCATTGGGGATGCTCGAATTTCAGTTCATTATATGCATGGTCATTGTTACAAACTGCTTGGAGTTGACGCTCGATTTAACAGATGAACTACAGAAAGCTTGTTACAACTCTAGCACAATCTGTGAAAAGGTGGGAGCTCTATAAGTTCTAAGCTGTTCTCTTCAAAAGTCATCTCTTATTGTTTCAGTATTACTTCAGGAGGAAACCTAAACAAAATTAACTTTATTTATATACTAAATAGCTTGAAAGTGTTCCTATTAAAACATGGTTCACACTTGCAATTTGGTCGGCTATTTTGTGTTTCTCGTGGATGCAAATGAGTGAACTCACACACAAAAGTATATAGTCACTTTTCAGCTAGAAGAAGTAAACAATTCTTTTGCATGTCATTCATTTGATCACATTTTTTGCCAGGAGTAGAAAAATCGCCGACAGAATTGCGTATGTGAACCACTGCTCTTAAAGATCCAACAAAATCGCAAAGTTTAAATTATCAGACAACTAAGAATCAAACCACATGGTCACAGGTTCATACTGATAACTTATGAAACTTTTGCTATTGATTCTATAGGTGGCAGAACTTCTGACGAGACTTGATGAGCTCAAATCCAACATTGAAGAACGACACTCGGCATGGTACGAGAAAGCGGTCGACTTGGCAACAAAAATTGATATCAAACCAGAGAAAGAAAAAATCTACGGCTCGAAACCCAAGACGACTCATGACCCGAATGAATCTATCTCTGAGCATTACCTGAAATTGATCACCTTGCCATTTCTTGACCACATGAAAGCGCAAATCGAGCTGCGATTTTCACAAGCCAGCTTAGATGCCTTGGATGGCTTGGCAATGATGCCTAATAATGTTGTGAGCAATCCAAAATCATGGAAAACAGCGGCCTCAAGGTTTATGGAAAGGTATAAGCACGACCAACCAGATGATATCTATTATGATGCAGAGCTTGGCCTTTGGGAAGCATCTTGGGAAATGTATAAAGGTACACCACCCAATACTGCCCTGGAACTGTTGTCAACCATGGCCACAAAATTCAAGTATACGACTCAAGTCCAGACTGCATTCAAGATTTTTACCACCCTACCAGTTATCCCAACCGAATCTGAAACACCGAGGGTTATGCCTTTTATTCATGAAGAGTTATGCTTGTATTCAATGTCGGATAATTATCTGAATGCCCTCGCCTTGTTGAGCATTCGAGGGAAAGAATTGGAAACAGAAGATGTTATTGAGTGTTTTAAGAAGAAGTATACTTTGCCAATGATGGCAGATGCTTGAAGACTTAAAACATTTATTTACACGGACAGTAAAAACACTGAACTAGCTAACAGTTAGCATATGTGTAAAGACTGCTTTGCTTATAGTCAAAATGACGGAACACTTTAAGATGTGACAGACTAGCTTACTGTACTGAACCAAAGGACAAATTAAAAAGATGTTGTGTTTAAAAAGTCATGTTAAATATTTCTAGTGGTTTTCAAGAAGTGAATTATAGTACATGTTTGTAATATTTACATTTCAATTCCTGTACAAGGGTAAAAAATAAATAGTTTGTTTTCTTTCTTACTTGGACTAATAATGTTTATAGAATCAAGTTTGCTATCGCCACCAGCACCACCCTAACCACCATCATTAGCTGCTACCATCAACATTACCATCAGTACCACCAGCATAAATATTATCATGATCATTAGCTGCTACCATCAACATCATCACCACCATCATCAGCTGCTACCATCACCATCATCACCACCATCATCACCATCTTCATCATCATCACCATCACCATCATCATCACCATCTTCATCATCATCATCATCACCATCTTCATCATCATCACCATCTTCATCACCATCTTCATCACCATCATTATCGCCACCATCATCACCATCTTCATCATCATCATCATCACCATCATCACCATCTTCATCACCATCTTCATCACCATCATTATCGCCACCATCATCATCACCATCATCATCACCATCATCACCATCAAACTCCCCCTGCCACCATTCTTACCACAATCTCCCCTCCCCCCTCATCACCATCAAACACAAGTGTCAGGATCATAAAAAGCTTTCAACTTTTCAACCAAATCTTTCTGATCCTCCTCAACATCTTTCTCATTTTGCAATTCATACCTGTTAAACACCAACCTCTTAAAAGACTTCAGTCCCATCCCAATATTACTCTGAATCATCTGCTCCCAATCGAAAGGAAAGTTTTCTATGGCATCATGGTTAAAGGTGTACTCCCCAAGGTTAGTGTAGGCGTAATGTGGGTTAAACATGGCTGCTTGGGTTTTGCCGGGAGGATGTTGAAGTGGACCCAAGTGGGAGACTAATGGAATACGACGGACAATCCACTCCTAATAATAAAGAATAGGAATAGTTGAAGCACACAAAATGAAGTTCTTATAGTTTAATTCGAATGGAGTACCCACGTAAAAATCTCACAACTTGTCAACAAGATGTGTTCGCAACAGGCTTGTAGCAAGCTTGTCAACAAGTTGTAACAATGCTGTTATTTTATCAAGTTGCTACAAGGTTGTCACTCACAACGTGTTGACAAATTGTTGAATTGCAGGACGATAACAAGTTGTTGGAACAACTTGTAACAAGTCTGCTGGGCTCAACAACCTTGTAGCAAGCTGGGAACAAGCAGTGCGAACACATCCTGTTGACAAGTTGTTGGAACAGCATTACTACAAGTGCTGTAGGTTTGTTACAAATTGTGCGTTTTTACGTGTGCTACCATACAATGGCTACAGAGAGAGCCATATGGACCATTTGTCTCATGTGTGCAAACTTGTATGAAATGCCTTAAATCGGATAAAATACTGTGTACGTGCTTCGTACGTTAGCGTTTAAATTAATTTTAATTGTTTAATTAAATTAAAATAACAGTCTGTGATAATGTACCTTCTTAGCAACAAAGAACTTGTATACTTGCTTCAGCGCTTTCTCCCCTGGAAATAACCACATTTTCAAATTTAACGATGAGCTTGTTATAACGCAAAAGGAATTTGCTGGCATCACATTATTTACCTTTACTATCAAGAAACAATTCTCTAAATTTGACTCGGAACTGAAGTTCTTCAAAATTATCTTGGCTAGACACAGAGAGTGGCTCGTCTTCATCCCTACATTTCAGCAGAAAACAAGAGAACATTCAGAATTCTAGGAAGAACAGTTTAGAACTATCAAGCATAAACAAAAATAATTTAATATCTTACATTTCTAAAATGATGTCACCAATTCTTTTAACTTGGTCATCGATCCAATTTTTCTTGTTCTTAACCAGAGTTTCCAGAGCGCTTGGTAAGTGACATGTTTCATAAAGTCCTTTCATATCTCCCAACAAGACATGATAGATTATTTGAGCCAAAATCTTGCAATCATTGCTGATATCATCTTTACTGCTCGACCCTTCAGCGATAGTTTCATCATCCACAGCTGAGAAAATTCGGTAAAGCATACTTCCCAGCAGCTGTAGGGAATAAGATGAAACATACGTTATATGATTTGCTCGTCAAGAGATGACTTCTACTGCGTCTCTAGGTTGAACAGTTAGTTTAGATGTCAGGCTCACCTTCACTCCAGCACATGGAGTTGTATCAGATGTGAGCTTAAGTTGGCGAAGATCATCTATGAAACGAATAAGGGAAAATTACTAATCTACTATTGTATTCACCACTACCCATCATTATCACCATCACCAACACCATCATCACCACCATCATCACCATCACCATCATCACCATCATCATCACCACCATCAACACCACCATCACCATCATCATCACCATCATCACCATCATCACCATCATCACCACCACCACCATCATCATCACCATCATCATCACCATCATCATCATCATCATGATCATCATCACCATCATCATCACCATCATCATGATCATCATCATCACCACCATCATCACCATCATCATCACCATCATCATATCATCAGCATCATCATCATATCATCACCATTATCATCATCATCATCATCATCATCATCATCATCATCACCATCATCATCACCATCATCAATACCATCATCACAACCATAATTATCATCACCTTCAATTCTGTTAAAAAGTTTCAAAACTATTCTTGGTAGTAAACGAACAGTCGAGGATAGCGTTTTCAAAACTCGTTCAAAAGCTTCAAAAATCTGTCTTGTTTTATCTAAACAAAGAAACGACATTCCAACGAACTGAAAGAAAGCATTTTGATGACGACTTACAGTTACGCCAAAATCATACGAAAAACCAAGAAGTCGGGCTTCTGTATAGTCTCTATTCTGTGCTTATACCGCGTACCAATAAAAAACTTACCAAATGGCTTGGCTGCTGCAGTAGGTTTGTCCACGTGACATCCACATGGTAAGGAGTTGATAGCAGTAAACTTGAATGATTTAGTTCCAGATTGGTCTTGCACACAGAGTGTAGATAAGGCAAGATCTTTAAGTCTGAAATGATAACATGAATATTGTAACGTTGTTTTCTGCACGTGTTTCACGAAAGTGGACAATATACTTTATGCATAATGACGTCATAAGGCTTGATGCCCGCGAGGAATGCTGGTCCTAGTAGTCATCGCCCAGGAATATTAAACAATTCAAAATAGCCACTATCGAAATTTTCCCGGGCAATGACTACTAAGACCAGACTCTCGCGGGCATCAAGACTTGTGACGTCATTAGGCATAAGGTATATTGGGCCACAAATGTGGAAAAACATTGTCTCTCAGAAACATTGTTTCCGAGCCGTGTTCTCAAAAGTGGCCAAAGTTATAGAAAGCGTAGTACAGAAGCGATCTGTCCGTAGAGTAATAACTCTAGAAAACAACATTTTTTAGATTCTTTACCTGAGCATAAACGGTCTGAACGTGGAGAATAAGCAATCTAACCAAACTGGTATCTAAAAAGATGACAACATGTATCTACGATAAGTATGTATTTTTTGGAAGATTTTACTCTACTTTTAAAATACTTAGAGACGAACCTTATCATCTTCACTAAATCGTAAGCCTTCTGTTGATGCAAACATCTGCCACGAATTCTCTCTGTAAAATAAAATATTTCTTTACATTGGATAGATCTTTTAGTTCTCTACATAGGACCAGTAAGAGTCATCTATTATTCACCAAAATGTTAGGACATGAACCTATACTAGACTGTTTATACTGGACAATTCTACTAATAGCCGCTACTACAATCTTGGCCATACACCGTAGGACGACGATGAATTTTTGTGCATTTTTAAGGCCTCCCCCCTTCCCCCATTCAATGTTGCCGTTTCGTGTATATTTACTGTACAGACAAAATTGTACGTGTATTAAAAATGTGGGAGAGCAACATTGAATGGGGGGGGGGGGGGGAGCGGGGGGAGGTGTAATATGATTTTAAAACCCAAGTATATTAAAAAGTTGAGAATTTGTTTTGTCGTTCTACGAACTTTTGGCCAAGATTGTAGTTTCTACAATCCTTGCAAAAATTATATGGACACCTAACTTTTCTAATGCCAATATTAACACTGAGACGTTCTTTCATGAAATTTGTCGCCCCTGCCCCCTATTCAATGTTGTTTCTCGCATTTAAATTTTAAAAGTTTCTTTTACCAACATTGAATTGGGGGTAGGAGGGGGATTTTCTGGGGATTAATTCTGTAGAGATACATCTATTTTTGTACAGTTCAAGATACTGTAATAGCACTGACCTGTTTATCAACGCGATCACAAAGTTAACGAGAGATGTGGACCGCGTCGCACACTTCAAAATGACGTAATAGAGCGATGCCACAATGCTCGAGTAATAATCATCATCGTTTTCCAGATATTCAAACTGAACACTTCTCTTCCTCACTTGAGCGTCTTCTTCGTTATAAAAATGAATTTGATGGCTTTCTACAACGAACACATTTCAAAAATAAAATGTATTACTTCATATGTTGGCTTAGTATCAATAAGAGATGACGCTTACTGGACCTCTAGGAAGAACAGTTTAGAACTGATAGAGCTATCCAGTATAAATAAAGTTAGTTTAGTTTAGGTTTCCTCCTGTAGTAACACTGAATCAATAAGAGATGATCCTTACTGAACCTCTAGGAAGACCAGTTTAGAACTGATAGAGCTATCCAGTATAAATAAAGTTAGTTTAGTTTAGGTTTCCTCCCGTAGTAACACTGGATCAATAAAAGATGATCGTTACTAGACCTCTAGGAAGAACAGTTTAGAACTGATAGAGCCATCCAGTATAAATAAAGTTAGTTTAGTTTAGTTTTCCTCCTGTAGTAACACTGGATCAATAAGAGATGACCCTTATTGCACATCTAGGAAGAACAGTTTAGAACCGATAGAGCTATCCAGTATAAATAATGTTAGTTTGACTATCTATGACCACATTTCCGTTTACCTAAATATGTTACTATTGTAACAGCCAAGTAGGAATCTCGCAGCAGAACAGTCTAAAGAAAGTACGAACGAATGTTTATAAAAAAAACCCAATTCCAGCCGACAATTCAAAAGTATATAAGACAAAACACCACCAAAAATTAGCATCATGAAACTCAAGATACGAGTTCAAACAATTCTCGTCTTCACTTGACTCACAGTTTCAAGAATGCTAATCTATGGATCTTATACTTATACTTTTTGAATGTCTATAAGCTTTTACAGTTACCATCATTTGGATATATTTTGGTACTCTGAGCTCAGTTTTAAGTACGGTGAACGAATGTGCAAACTTTAATTTAAAAAAAAAATGTTAAGCCTTGTTCTTGGTCATTAAAAAAGTCTACTAATAAAACAAGGCTAAGAGAAAGTTCGATATTAAATATTTTGAACAAACCTCGATTTGTATTACGCTCACACAATTACACTGTTTACCTGAAGAACAAGCTGCCACACAGGACTCGGTTGGTTTATCATCAATTTGAAATAAATATTAACCGCTTGGATATCACTGAGGGAAAGCAAACTAAAAATAAAAATATCATTACAGATTTAACCACCAGAAAAATACAAGTAAAATAGTAATGAAAACCAAGTTCTGGCATTTGAAAAGGGAGTTTTACATTCGAAAAGATAGTTTTGCCATTTGAAAAGACAGTTTTGCCATTTCAAAAGGGAGTTTTGCCATTACAAAAGGGAGTTCTGCCATTTGAAAATGGCGTTTTGCCATTTGAAAAGGGAGTTTTACTATTTGAAAAGGGCGTTTTGCTGTTCGAAAAGGGTGTTTTGCTATTTGAAAAGGGTGTTTTGCTATTTGAAAAGGGCGTTTTGCTATTTGAAAAAGGCGTTTTGCTATTTGAAAAGGGCGTTTTGCTATTTGAAAAGGGCGTTTTGCTATTTGAAAAGGGCGTTTTGCCATTTGAAAAAGGCGTTTTGCTATTTGAAAAGGGCGTTTTGCTATTTGAAAAGGGCGTTTTGCTATTTGAAAAGGGCGTTTTGCTATTTGAAAAGGGCGTTTTGCTATTTGAAAAGGGTGTTTTGCTATTTGAAAAGGGCGTTTTGCTATTTGAAAAGGGCGTTTTGCCATTTGAAAAGGGCGTTGTGCTATTTGAAAAGGGTGTTTTGCTATTTGAAAAGGGAGTTTTGCTATTTGAAAAGGGTGTTTTGCTATTTGAAAAGGGTGTTTTACTATTCGAAAAGGGTGTTTTGCTATTTGAAAAGGGCGTTTTGCTATTTGAAAAGGGTGTTTTGCTATTTGAAAAGGGTGTTTTGCTATTTGAAAAGGGCGTTTTGCTGTTTGAAAAGGGCGTTTTGCTATTTGAAAAGGGTGTTTTGCTATTTGAAAAGGGAGTTTTGCTATTTGAAAAGGGTGTTTTGCGTAATTCTGTGCGTCTGTTCTCAAATAGATCATGGCTCTCGACCAATGAAAGTGCTTGAATTCTCAACGTTATTACATAAAGTTTTGTTATAAAAGTGTATCCCATATTTTCGTTTTTCCGTCTAATATTGGGCAGTGACCTCTTACCTCTTACTTTGCTCTCCATACAATTCAGGTTGTAGCCAAGTCAGCCAGGAGGTCGCTGTATTCTTGCCTTCTTTGATCAGTTCCTCTCCACCACCCGCGGTGAACACACCCAAGGTCTCCAAGGGACATGTGATGATGGTCATGATTGCCAGGAGTGCTGAACATGAGTTGTGGATGTCCAGTAGAATGTTGCGTGAGGGTTCAGGGTTGAGAATGTCGGTGAACGACTTAGATACAGGAAAGATCATCCAGGATGAAACGGTGAATAGAATTGCTGTGATGTCACACCTGAAATAACAGTGTACGGGAAATGTTAGTCATTTTTTGTATGCTTCTTTCTTGCGTTCTTTTCTGCTTGTATGCTTCCTTTCTTCTTTATTTCATTTCATCTTTCCGTTTCCACTTTCTTCTTTCCTCATTGCCTCCCTCCTCCCACCATCCACCTCTACTTCCCTCCACCCACCCAACCTTCGTTCTTCTTTCCCTCTTCCTTCTTTCCCTTCCTCTCTCCCTGCATCCTTTCCTTCCCCCATTACTCTCTCCCTCCTTCCCCCTCCCGCTTCCATCTTTCCCCCTCCTTCCTCTCACCCTCCTTCCTCTCACCCTACTTTCTTCCCCCCACCTCCTTCCACCTCCCCCCTCTTTCCTCCCCACCTTTTCCCTTCCCCCACCCTTCCTTCTTTCCTCCCTCGCTCCTTTTTACCTCCCCCCTGCCCCACATCCTTCCCAACCATCCTTCCCAACCATCCTTTCTCCTAAAGGCCCATTTCCAGTCAAGAAAATTTTCCTCGCAAAGAAAAATTTGTAAAATGTGATTGGCCGCGATACAAATTTTCCGTCGGAAAAAAATTTTCAAACTTTAACAATGATATTTTCGGAAAATTTTCCGTCCGTGGAAAATTTTCTTGAGTGGAAATGGGCGTTAACCCTCCCTACCTCCCACCATACCTAAACAGTTTAGTCCTCCTATAGCTGGGCAAAGCTTTAGAATATCGCCTGACAAAACAAGCCAGCGAGTACTGGACAACAGAAGTGAAGAATTCTTGAGACTTTAATGGCGGACACAGTTGCCAGAGGTCATATTGTAAACCTTGCATGTAGTAGTTCCACATTTGAACGGAAAACGAACACCTCTCTCCCTGAAATATGAAACAATAGATTGCTTAAGCCAATCTAGGAATCGTTTTCGAAGTTGAACCAATATTTTCTGTTCTTGAATCGAAAACAACTCCAATAGTGAGATTCATTTACCTCAAAAAATTCTTTCTGGTTCATCCAATGATGGCTGTGAACATCTTGTAAAACAACTGTGGCAATTGTAGAGAAATGGTAACTGAAGATTTTCTCATTTAGAGATTCGCCCAAGTCACGGTACACTGATGATAGAGATCTATATAATCAAATGATACGGGAGTTACACTTCTAAACGGTTAATTCTCCCTAAAGTTCCAGTAAGGATTATGGCAGGGAAATGTTCTGTGCATGAATTAAATTACCCTGTAATATTTCCGTAATTTTCCTCAAATCGTCGGAGAGTAAGTTTGATGAACACAGCTGAGTTGAAAGCCAGGTAAAGATTTTGAACTGGAGAAGATCTTGGCACGTCTGAACTTATCTTGAGGAAACAGAAAACATATTTAGTGTAAGACAGTTGTTGGCATGAAGAATGGGAAAAGATGGAAAAGATCTATTAACTGATTGAATCATCATTGGGCGATTCCGGCTATAGACTAAATTTTGGGCAAGAAGAACGAAATCCAACACCACAGCTAGAAAGAGCGTCCTAGAATGAGTAAAACTACAAACTAAGATTGGTTGCTAAATGTTGTAAAATGAAGAAAATATAGCCCTGTGAAGTTCGCAAATTTTTATATACTTGTATCACGCGCGGTAAAAATAACAACCACTTTCGGCTCAAAAATGATTATTTTTCCGGCGCGTAATGCAAATATATACAAAATATGCGAACTTCACAGGGCTATATATTTCTTCATTTTACAACAATTCGCAACCAAACTTTGCAATTGTACTCATTTTACGATGCACTTTCCAGCTATGGTAATGGATTTTGTTCTTCTTGTCTAGATCAAAATTTCATCTGCAGCTGAAATCATCGATTGAATGGCTAATTTCCAATGTCATTTTAGATCATTTCCAGTGTATGATTCCATACCTGTACAAGTCTGCATTGATACGACATCAGATTGGTTGTCAGTGATTCTACGTAGGAATTTCTCACAGCTTCAAACTCCTTTCCAGGCTTTAGAAGAAGGAAAGGAGCGAGTTCATCCATCTTCGCCATTATTACACTGCAACTCTGAAATTCAAATTAAAACATAACATTTTATCGCCTTTGACAATGCCGCGCCATTATACTAATATTATTTACCACTTTACCTTGGAGATGAGTTTTGGATAGTCCAAAGTATCATCAACAACATTTTCTAAAATGAGAAATTAAAGATTTACTAGGGTCGAAGCAGTCTCCTATATAGGGGTGGAAAGAATAGGCGAGCACTGCTCGCAGGAAATGTTAAACAGCTGCAGGAAATTCGTTTAAATGAAGATTTGCTATTGAAAATTTGAAGGACATCTTAACACCCATGTCCCACTGTGGGCGCAACAACATATGGTTGACAGGCATTATTCCTTGAATTGAAAACCATGGTCAGGCAGAACACTATATATTTATGCACATGCAGATTTGGCACAAAAATACTGTTACTGATCTGCATGAAATGCTTGTCTCCAGGTTGTGCTGCCAGGAAGGAATGCATTTTGAAGGATTTGTTAGAAATGTTTGAGGGAACGAACTCATGTGTTAACATTGAATCTGTTCCTCGAAAATTTCTTACAAATCTTTCAAAACTAAGAATTTTCCTATGCAAAATTTCTACTGTGATCACAGAAACTTTTACAATGTAAACCAGGCTCAAGTAACTAGGATCAAAGCCCACCCGTACTTTGCAGGTCGAAAACGCATTTTAAACCAAGAATACACGATGGTCTTTCAAATCGCGTGCCTCGAGACAGGATTTCTTAAACATAATTATCGCTACAAAGCAAACCTGTAATGTCGACAGCTTCGTAATTCAGATGGCTCTTCTCATACTCCTGCATTTCATTCTGAAGAGCAGATCTCGTCTCTGATTGGATGGTTTCCGAGATAGCTAGTGCCAGTTTACTCACGACTGGTTTAAATACTTCCTGCCAGGACCAAATATGGTCTTCTGTATCGAGCTCTTCTGGCTCGTCTCGCACCACTTCCTCCGGTGAGAGTTCTGATGAAACTAGAAAGAAGGACTTAAACTTTATTTACACTTGATTGAACTTTATTATACTGCATGAATGGCTCTATCAGTTCTAAACTGTTCTCCCTAGAGGTCCAGTAAGGATCATCTCTTATTGATCCAGTGATACTACAGGAGGAAACCTAAACTAAACTAACTTTATTTATACTGGATAGCTCTATCAGTTCTAAACTGTTCTTCCTAGAGGTCCAGTAAGGATAATCTCATATTGATCCAGTGTTACTACAGGAGGAAACCTAAACTAAACTAACTTTATTTATACTGGATAGCTCTATCAGTTCTAAGCAGTAAGCAGATTCTCAGAGAGATCTGTGCCACGCCTACCTTCGCTTGTGGTGTTCACTTCCACCTGGGATGCGGATATTGATGAGATAGAGAAAGATGAACCAAAATTTATTCCCAGCATACCACAAGGTTCTAAATATGAAAGTCAAAACGAGAGTCAAAGCCAGAATCTCAAATATGATAGACAAATGTGTACGTTAATCGTTATATGTAAGAACATGTTGTTGACAGTTTAGTCACAGACAATAGTTATGTAGATGTTTTGTTAGTATTTCTTCGGGACTCCGTTAGTGGAGATTATCTCTGTGGTCATGCCGTACCTGCGTGTACTGCATGTAACTTATGCAATATTGTGCAATGGTTTAGTGGTATTTATATAGATCCCTTGCACATGACGTCATATCGCCGGTGATGATGCATCTGGAGGACAAATTAGCAATCTATGCATAATATAACTTTTGTAAACAAAGCAAATTTTGTAAAACTTTATAATAATTTTGTATTAAAATGGTTAATTTTCGCGCTGTATGTGGTTGTTGTACCCGAACAGATTTTGTTAGGGAGCATCTGGAGGACACTCTAAGGATTTGTGACGTCAGTGCAATGGGTCTATTGGTGCTTGGCAAATCTTGTAAAACAAAATAGTAGAATAGATGAAAGGATGATTCTAGCTATGTTGACTAAATTTTGATCTAGGCAAGAAAAACAAAATCCATCACCACAGCTAGAAAGAGCATGTTAAAATTAGTAAAATTGCAAAGTTTGGTTGCGAAATGTTGTAAAATGAGGAAAATATAGCCCTGCGAAATATGCAAATTTTGTATTAATTTGTATTACACGCGGGAAAATGCAACACATTTGGGCCGAAAGTGGTGCCACAAATTAATACAAAATTTGCAAATTTCGCAGGGCTATATTTTCCTCATTTTACAACATTTCGCAATCAAACTTTGCAATTGTACTAATTTTAACATGCTCTTTCTAGCTGTGGTAATGGATTTGGTTCTTCTTGCCTAGATCAAAATTTACTCCATAACTGGAGTCATCCATTGAGGACAGCGTGATCTGAAGCTTACCCTCAGAGGAGTGTAGACTTAGTAAAAACTTCTTTGTACACGCGTCAGCCGAGGACGCCACTAACACACATTGCCTCAGAGCCAGGAGAATCTTCTTAGATAAAGTATTTCCTGTGTTGTCCTCGAGTTTTTCCGATCCTTTTCTTCCCAAAGTGTGGAGGCGTTTCACGACCTCATTTAACTCGTTGCTGAAGTCTTTTAAATACACGCTGTACACCTAAAATTCATTGAATTGATCAGCCTCAATTAAACGAGGATGAGAGAATACACGCTGTACACCTAAAATTAATTTGAATTGTTAAGCCTAAATACACCCTTTCAATAATTACGTCACAACTACACTCTTTTCAACTTAGGACCACCTTAAATGGAAAGGATTTCATGTTTTTTCTCATGGGCTATGCACAGAGAAGCAGAACATCCTTCTTCAAGACATGCGCGAAAAATAATTCTTTATTTTGACCAATAAATGTGGAAATAAGCTTTATAACACGAAAACGAGGTTCCAGGTCATTGACCTGGAATTTCGTTTTCGTGTTAATGCTATCATGCATGAGTCAATAGACCTTTCCCCTTATGAGTGAAATTTTGATCTAGACAAGTCTGGACAAAAATTTCATCACAGCTTGAAAGAGCATCACAAAATTAGTAATATTCCAAAGTTTCGTTGCGAAATGTTGTAAAATGCGGATAATATAGCCTTGCGAAGTTTGCCGTTTTTCAGTCATTTTGTATTACAAATGGGAAATTGATAATCAGTTTGATAATCCGATTATCAATTTCCCGGGCGTAATACAAAATGACTGAAAAACGGCAAACTTCGCAAGGCTATATTATCCGCATTTTACAACATTCCGCAACGAAACTTGGGAATATTACTAATTTTGTAATTCTCTTTCAAGCTGTGCTGCAATTTTTGTCCAGACTTGTCTAAATCAAAATTTCACTCAAAAGGGGAAAGGTCTATTAGTCAACTGTATTGCTTTATTTGCTCACATGATAATACTGGATCCTGGTGAAGTATATTAACAATTTCCGCACGTAATACAAACATATACAAAATTTGAAAAACTTTGCAAGCCTATATTTTCCAAGCTTTACTAATTTCATTATGTTCTTTTTACAGTTTTTAGCAGTGGTTTTAGATTCCCTTCTCTTTACTTAGATTAAAATTTAGTCTAACATGCAAATTGTCCGGGTCATTTCAACCGCTGTTATGAATCGGCATACCTCATCAGGCTGCATCTGGACTGCCTCAGGAAACATACCAAGCAACACAATATTATAATCTTCTTCAAACATCATGTCCAGGGTGTGACTTACACGCAGCAAACACGTGACCTCGCCAGGAATGTTCTCATCCGGTGGGCACTGGTGTTCAAGTTCTATACCATCCAAGTGTGCTGAGTTTTGAAGGAAGCGTTTCATTTGTTGGTTTCTGATGGTGAGGTATTTTTTCCATACATCACTTGGGGTGTATAACATGCTGAGTTTTTCAAGAAGTTTTATTTTCTATAAAGATGAGGATAGCAGTATTATGGTGGTGATAGTGATTATGGTGTTGGTGATGATGATGATGGTGTTGATGATGATGATGGTGATGATGGTGATAGTGATGATGGTGTTGGTGATGATGGTGTTGGTGATGGTGATGATGGTGATGATGGTGTTGGTGATGATGGTGTTGGTGATGGTGATGATGGTGATGATGGTGTTGGTGATGATGGTGATGATGATGATGGTGATGATGGTGTTGGTGATGATGGTGATTATGATGGTGGTGACGATGGTGATGTTGGTGATGATGTTGGTGAAAATCATGATGATGGTGGTGATAGTAATGATGGTGGTGGTGATGATGGTGGTGATGGTGATGATGGTGGTGGTGATGATAATGATGATGGTGGTGATAGTAATGATGGTGGTGGTGATAATGGTGGTGATGATGGTGGTGATGATGGTGATAATGATGATGGTGGTGATGATGGTGATAGTGATGATGGTGGTGATGATGGTGATAATGATGATGGTGGTGATGATGGTGATAATGATGATGGTGGTGATAATGATGGTGGTGATAATGATGATGATGGTGGTGATAATGATGATGGTGGTGATAATGAATTCAGATGATGGTGGTGATTTTTATGCATGGTGAAAGTCACAACTATGTAACTATGACCATATATGAAGTTGACTTACCTCTGTAAGAAGAACTTCAAATTCATATTTATCGTCACTTGGTGTCATCTTGTCAATACTTGCAAGCAAACCCCTGCCAACCATGCTCCTAATTCTATCCCACAGTGCACTTGTGGTTTCCTCATTGTCGTTCAAAACAACATTTAACGAGGCAGTAGATTGTCTAATGTTGACAACACTTGAATCCGCTTCAGCGGTCGGCAGGATTAAACCTTGTTCAGCAGCAAAGGATGTAAGCTCATCAAGAATTTTCTCTTCTTGTCCTACATTTCTTTCCAAAGCTTGTACCTGATAGAGAGGAAGTTAGTTTAGTTTAGGTTTCCTCCTGTAATAACACTGAATCAATAAGAGATGATCCTTACTGGACCTCTAGGAAGAACAGTTTAGAACTGATAGAGCTATCCACTTACCACATTATTAAGAAATACATTCAAATTAATTGGTTCTGTGCTACAAATGTGGCCTTCCAGCTCAACTTTGTCCTGTAGATATTGTGTAAAATCTTTTATCGAACCAACATCAGTTTCGAGTGAGATCTGAGCTTCCTCAGTTAATGCTTTCCACTCTTTTTCGATACTAAAATATTGATCATTACTTTTTAAACTGGAGGTGCACATCAACCAAGGAATTGGTAGGTTTTAAAACTGTTTACAGGACAGCAGATCGTGGTCAACTTCTGAGACGAGATGGTGACAGTCATAAGCCGTGTTTACACTACGAGCCTAAGCCCACCTTTTGACCACATTTTTGTAGTGTAAACGCACTTCAGCCTGGCCTAGACCAGGAAATCTGGGCCCATCAGAACAGGTGGCCCAGATTTCCTGGCCCAGGCCAAACCGAAGTGCATTTACACTACTAAAATCTAATCCAAAGCTAGCCCTAGGTCAAGCTTAGGTTTGTAGCGTAAACACGGCTATAGGCTCACGAAAATTAATTACAATATCTCTCTGCAATACATGCTTCTGGAAAGCATGTCACCCTCACTATACACACAGAATACTATACAGAAGGCCACCTCCATTGTTTTTTTGCATAAGCACTATTCGTCATGATTCGTCACTTAGCAAGTACCATAACCCCACCCGGATGTGTGCCGTTTTGAATATTTCCAGGGGGGCTCCTTCTGTTTATGGTACTTGCTGAATGAAGAATCATGACGAATAGCACTACGTTATGGAGGTGGACTTCTGTATAGTACTCTGTGCTATACAGCCTCGATTTTGTGATTTATACAAAAATGAGGCTCTATAGCCAAAGTGACATACTTGCCTGTATTCTATTCTTTTGCCACTAAATGCAAGATAAATAGAGAATAATACATGGGTGTATGGAAATAACAGAATTATTTCGAGTATTGAACACAATATCTCACAAAGGAGATATCGTGTTCAACACGAGAAATAAATCTGCTATTTCCAAGCACCCATGTATTTTTCTGTTTATTATATAAATGACAGCAATAATTTTTACAGAAAAGCGATAATTGAAAAGCAATAATTTTCACATGTGAGATTATCATAAATAATCTCACATGCAAGATTGTCACTTTTATCAGTGCTCAAAATCTCTATGAAGCACTATACTTTATATAATACATGATAATTCTTATGGTCTGAACTGGGTTATATCAAATTTGCAAGTCGAAAATACAATTTTCAGTCTTGAAATTGGTAGTCAAAATTACAATTTTCGACTGACATCTTGCAAAACATGTTAACTGATAGCTGACAATTGGCTTTAATTTTTAAGTGACATAAAATATCATACCGAAGCTACATTTAATACTGTCGGTTTTATGGTTTACACTTGTACGAGGAATAGCTTTCCGTAGCGACGTGAAAAAACAGCTATCCGTACCTTTTAGGAACGCTGTTTCCAGAGGAATTATTGCAACGGATAGATGTTGTTTCGTTCAGTTTCTGAAAGTTGTACATTCCGTATCGGAAGGTGCTTTTTCGCGCCGCTACGGAAAGGCGGGAAAGGTATGAAATTCAATTCTATCCGGTTTTGTCTTGAATTTTGGCAGACAACTGACAAGCTTATAATATAAATACGAACAAACCTTTCCCGAGACAATTTAATCTGTTCGCCCAAAGATTTGACAATTCTTTCCATTTCTCCAGCGTCGCCTCGCATTTCCAGTCCTTGGAGAGCCAAGTCCAAATCAAAATCTGACAAAATACCTTCTTCTGCCATTTTATTTCAAAATTATACAAACTCTGTAATGTTCTACATTAATTCAAGCGTTTCTCTATCCGTTGTATTGTAAGGTTACTGCAGGAGGCCTACACGAATCCAACACATTGTTAGAAATATCGCCGACTGCGTAAACATTTGTTAAATTTCGGATTTAAAATTTGCTAATGTTTCGACGCTTCAAAAGCTTATTTAAAAGCTAGTTGGAAGTCTAAAAGCATTCGGTGTGCTTTGGCACATAAAATACTTAACGTTCTACATATTTTTTACCTCTATATCCAGAGAGATAGGACTGGTTTCAACAAGTAAAAAATTAATATTTTTGTTTCCAAACTCAATATTTATTTCGCCATGTTTGAATTTGACAAAGTTTAAATCACGCGCGCATTCCACGAAGTGCGGGATGATTAGCACTGACCCCAAACTAAAACTGGACTAAAAACAAATAAGTGTCATTTCGAAACAAACAAGTGTTTCATTTTTTATTTTTTTTTTCAGAAGGGAACCTAAACTAAACTAAACTAACTTTATTTATACTGGATAGCTCTTGACTATAAGTTCTAAACTGTTCTTCCTAGAGGTCCAGTAAGGATCATCTCTTATTGATCCAGTGTTACTACAGAAGGAAACCTAAACTAAACTTTATTTATACTGGATAGCTCTATCAGTTCTAAACTGTTCTTCCTAGAGGTCCAGTAAGGATCATCTCTTATTGATCCAGTGTTACTACAGAAGGAAACCTAAACTAACCAACTTTATTTATACTGGATAGCTCTATCAGTTCTAAACTGTTTTTCTTACCACCAAGCTTGTACGTATTTGTGTGTATGGACTGTTTTGCGTACAATTTACCTTAGAATTTTTACTAGATTATTTACAAAAGTTTCTAACTTTTTCAATTGCTATCATCTCCAAGAAGAAGATTTTGTGGATCCGCACTAAAAATTGACGAAAAAGAAAATTATACGATATAATATCAAAAACATGCATTTTCTAATTCTTCACAGTTTATTGCAACACGTGCAGAATATGTTAATGCAAGGAGTGGAGTTTCACGTTTACATATGGAACGTTTTAGGACCGATTTACACCGCACAACTTTTGGCTAAAACTGTCGCATGCAACCTGCTTACAACTTGAGTTGTACTGTGCAAATCAAGCACACAACTAGCCTATGACAACGCTTTTACACAAGAAATGAACCTATTCTCAAGCTTCGCCCACAAGAGTATCAAGATCAGTGAGAAATATATTGCTGTGCTGTCGGTATAGAGCGTTTGCAATCATTCCCCAGGGACCAAATCAACAAAAGCCATGGCGGCCATGTTGGTGTTCTAGACAAAAGAGTCTGATTAACATTCATTTGAATTGGAACACCGACATGGCGGCTGTGATGTCATGTGCAAACGCTCTTTTACCAAATTTTTTCACAAACATGCACAATAATGAAAATACCAAAATAATATCCAGTGAAGATGAACAAGATATATAATTAATTTACAATAAATATTTGACATCAAGCATACTAGTTACACTTTGTCAGCCTTCTAATATAAATATGGCTAATGCTTATTAGCTCTGGTCAAACAAGGATGAGAATTGGAAAGCGAAAGTTTGCATGAGAGTTGACTCTCATGCAACTCTCATGCCCCGCGGTCAAACGAGAACAAGAGTTCATGAGAGTTTACATGAGAGTTTTCTCAACTCTCAAGCCCCGGTCAAACAAGAACAAGAGTTTCATGAGAGTTGAGAGTTTACATGAGAGTTTTCTCAACTCTCAAGCACCGGTCAAACAAGAACAAGAGTTTCATGAGAGTTTACATGAGAGTTTTCTCAACTCTCATGCCCCGGTCAAACGAGAACAAGAGTTGCATGAGAGTTGAGTGAATATTACGAGCAACAAGCGAGAGTTGCAACTCTCATCCTCAATTGACAATTCTTAAATTTGTGATAAAAGGTCACGGGATCTCGTCAAAAGGTAGAGGAAGACTACACGCGGTAAGTTCTATATATTTAGTTCTTTAAAAAAACAACATAATTAAACTTGGAACATTATAATCATAATGATTAAACTTAGATTATTAAAACGCTAATTAAACTTAAATATTAACATAATAGTAACTTAGGCCAAAAAAAAATATGTGGGTTTCCGGTTTCCCGACCCTACCTAGCTTTTGGACGTCGAAATCCCGACCCTAAACTTTTTTATTGGATCACGGTTGTAAGTGTTTCCACTTAGAGGAAAAAGTTTGTGGAAAATTGAAATTTGAGGCAATATTAGGGAAATTTATCTTTGGATGTGGAAGCACTGACTAAACAAAATGGCGTCCGCTTGTTCGGAAAATTAAAAACAAAGTTTAAAAAAAGTTAAAACCGACCTACCCTACCTAAGTTTTTATAAGAAGAAACCGGAAACCCACATTTTTTTTAGCCTTATAAGACGTTGACCATGAAACGTCGTGGTTAATTACAGATTAATTTCTCAAGCTGCCCAAAGCTACGTTGTCCACCTGGTCATGACGTCTGTAACAAATTAAGAAAAAATTTAAATTTAAACTTTCATTATATATTAATTAGAGTTTTAATTATGATTTTAATTCTTTCAATGAATATAAATTATATTTCATGTTCGGTTTAATAAATACAGATCGTTTAATTAAGCTAAAATTTAGATAAGTTAGATCAAAAGTAAAAATTATCAACCAAACTCTAAACTGGTAGAACCCGTGACCTTTTCAACAAATATGAAAGCCAAAAAAAGTCTCCCATGATATACGTTGGAAATTGCATAAAGTTTCAGAAACTAAAGTGCAGTTCTAAAATGTTCTCCCTAGAAGTTCTAAAATGTTCTCCCTAGAGGTCCAGTTTAAACTTGGTTTCCATTTGGTCGTAAAAACAGAGTCACGATCTTTCTCAACGGCCAGTTTATAATAGTTTATACCTCAATTTCATAAGTCTAGTTATAATCACTCCGCGTATTTTCAGTTCTAAAATGTTGTATTTCGGCTGATGAGAAAAATCGTGCCTCCATCTTTACGATCATATGGAATCCATACTAATACAAAGTGAAAAAAATGAAACGTACTCACCTAGACTTGACTTTCAAGTGAACGTAGAAAAAGACTCCAGACATAAAACCAGAGATAGAGCCGACGACAAGATATGCAATTCCTAGGAAAGAATTCTTGCCACCAAGCCACGAGGTATTGCTGATTATGAAGCGCTTTTCACCGTCAAATTTGGTCACTGGGTAGTCTGAGGTGATTATAGGTTAAGGTTAATACAGTTTATTATATGGCTTTTCAAAATTCTCTATTTTGATTGGTTGACAAGCGGTCCGTAAAAACCCATATCGTGGTCCGTATTTTCCGTATCTGGATCGGTGTCCCGGATGTCGTTTATCTGGCGAGAAATTTTTGCTTTGCAAACAGAAAAAAATTTTGCTTTTTAAATTTCCAATTGTACTGTACAGATAAAAATTTCAAACAACCAAATTGAGCATGCATGCCTACCGTATATTGTTACCCAGTGAAACTGACGACAGCCGATTTAATTCGCGCGAAAAGCATATGCTCACAGACTCAGTTCAGCCATATAATAAACCGATTATTGACCTCGCTTGTTTGGTCTGTACTGTGAAATATCAGACCTCTGTTTTTTGCATGGACCTCGCTCCTTCGTCCCTCTCTGCATACTAAAAAACCTCGGTCTGATATTTCACAGTACAGACCTCACGCTCGGTCAATAAGCCGTTAATATACTGGTCATTCTGACAGGAGACCTATCTCTCGTTATTTTGGGTCCTGCTACCCTTGTGCTTGTGACCTTAACTCAACTATAAGACAGCAGTCATCTATGTTTCATGATAATTCAAAGGCACAGTTCAGCCTTTTAAATGATGGTTTTAAGTCGCATTTCAGCCCTTTTAATTGAGAGAACTAACTAGGAAAACCAATTAAGCATAATTCAAGATCAGCAAACGTAAGGTTTTCAACATTTTAAAACATTTTTATTGTTAAAAACATTGAGTTTATTGATCTTGAATTATGCTTAATTGATTTTCCTAGTTAGTTTTTTTTCAATTGAAAGGGCTGAAATGCACCTTAAAAACCATCATTCAAAAGGCTGTGCCTTCAAAGTAAGGATAAAGGATACTGTAATTGATATGCAACCAATATTTTCCTTTGGGCAAACCATCTCCAAAGTCATTTTCGTGTACGACTTTCCGATAAGGCTTACGGAATTTTGGGAAGGCTGCAGTCCTCATCCAAACAATAAATTCTTGGTTTTGAAAACCATTGTTGCTTTCCTCTGTCGTGTCTAGCTCGTTGACTGGTTTTGGCCAGTTGGGAGGTTTGGCAAATTCTTTGAATTCATCCATATTGTCTGGGTTCTTGAACTTTGTTTCTCGGTCTGATTTCCAAGCGATGTTCTTGAAAGTCAAGTCCACTTTTGTTTTGTTATTGCTGTAGGCGTCACCCACATAGTAGAGTGTAAATGAGTCTGGATGGAAATTAGAATAATGCACTGTTACAATGGGATGAAACTGGAAACACCAAACAAACTTTATTTAATGATGGATAGCCCTATCAGGTGATGGTGATGGTGATGGTGATGGTGATGGTGATGGTGGTGATGGTGATGGTGATGGTGATGGTGATGGTGATGGTGATGGTGATGATGATGGTGATGGTGGTGATGGTGATGATGGTGGTGATGATGATGGTGATGATGATGGTGATGATGATGGTGATGATGGTGGTGATGATGGTGGTGATGATGATGATGATGATGATGATGATGATGATGATGATGATGATGATGATGGTGATGATGATGATGATGATGATGATGATGATGATGATGGTGATGATGGTGGTGATGATGGTGGTGATGATGGTGGTGATGATGGTGGTGATGATGATGGTGGTGATGATGATGATGGTGGTGGTGATGATGATGATGATGATGATGATGGTGATGATGGTGATGATGGTGATGGTGATGGTGATGGTGATGATGA